CAAGTAGATCGGATATTATGTTTAGTGTTTGCTTATGTGCTAGATTTCAATCATGCCCTAAGGAATCACATTTACTAGCTGTTAAGAGAATCTTTAGATACCTTAAGGACACTCCTAGTTTAGGACTTTGGTATCCTAGAGACTCTAGCTTTAGCTTGCATGCCTTTTCTAATGCGGATTATGGAGGATGCAAATTAGATAGGAAAAACACCTCCGGTACTTGCCAATTCCTTGGAAATATGTTGATTTCTTGGTTTTCAAAGAAATAAATTTGTGTTGCATTATCTACCACTGAAGCCGAATACATTTCAGCTGGTAGTTGTTGTGCACAAGTTTTATGGATGTAACAACAACTTTTTGATTATGGAATTAAAGTATGTACCATTCCTATCAAGTGTGACAATACTAGTGCTATTTGTCTCACTAAAAATCCCATCCAACACTCTAAAACTAAGCACATTGAAATAAGACATCACTTCATTAGAGACCATGTCACTAAGGAAGATGTAGTTCTAGAATTTATTGATACTTTGCATCAATTAGCGGATATATTTACAAAACCCTTAGATAAGGAAAGATTTTGGACACTTAGGAGATAATTAGGTTTAACTGACCTATCTTTACTTAATGTTTAAAAATAATTTTTAGCACTTTTAAGAATAAATGAAAAAATACTTAAAATAATATTTTTGATTGCATTCTTGTTATTAGTTAGGGGGAGTTTATGATTATTAGTGAAAATTAATAGTTTGTTCAAATGATGTTTAATGACAAATTTGATTGTTTGAACATAGTTAATTTTCGCAATATGAGTTGCCAATACCACTAGGATTAATTATTTTAGCACTATTGGATGTTTAAAATACAAATTTTTTAAATATTTGGCAGAGGGAATCGATACCCCCATAAGGGAACCAATTCCCCCTTTGAATGGGAACTGATTACCTCCTTGAGGGAATCGATACCCCCCACGAGTTCTGGATATATCACGACCAAAAAACCCATTCTCTCAAAACCTCTCTTCTTTCTTAAACGGCGTTCATCCTCTCTTTCTCTCTAAATCTCCATTTTTTCCAAAATCATCAAATACAAGTCGGAATTAGATCGTTCTTCAACTTCTAATCCTTGCAAACAACATCACATTCTCATAAAATCCAAATTTTCAAGGTAATATTTCAAAATCCTCTATTTCATTGATTTTTGAACTTAGGACTAGCTTTGATTAGTTCTAAGATGAACATTACATCGGGCATTGGTTATATGATGATTTTACAACCAATTTCGTCAAAAACACTCAAAATTTCAAAACTATCTTTAAATTTCGAAATTAAAAAAATCAAAAATTGTTATTTTAATTGATGTTTTTGATTCAATTATGTTTTCATAAAAACTATACGTATTATGATTTTCAAACATTATTTTCCAAATAGTTTTTCAAAACATTGCCCTTTAAGATTCGGTTTAGAGAACCTTGAAATATTGAGGACTCATTTGAGCTTTGGGTTTGATTATATTGCATACATGTGTTTAAATTTGCAGGTTACATATTTTATTCTGATTCTTAAACCATGTCAAATACTAAACGACCTAGGACATTGTCTAGTAGCTCAAGTCAAAATCGACCTCTTATTCCTCCACCCAATCCAAATAACCCAAATATGACCATTATGAACTCTTGTTTCAACGTACCTGGTTGTGGACAAGATCTATATCATATGTACCATACTTGTTTTGATTCATACAAAATCTGGGAAAAGTGTATCCCTTCGATCCAAGCTATAAAAGATATGGACTTTCAATATCTTCCTACTCTTAAATCCTAGAAGTTTGATAAACTCTTTAAACTCAAACCTTTGGTTTATCATCAATTAGTCCACTTTTTTTCTATTCCAATGTGGTATGTGTCCAAAACGAGAGCCGATCTAAAAGTAAAGGAATTCGATCCTATCTTTTAGGACAATTCATTTTTATTGACTCCGGCACAATCGCTACCCTTTTTGGACTAGATAACTCATGTTTAATGAAAAAGAGACTGTGGATTCACCCTATAAGTCTAAGGATAGTGAGAGTACCCTAAGAACTCATCGTGATAGATTCCTTCATTATTTGATCTCTTAGTGGTTTAGACCATCCGGAGGTAGGTACTCCTCCCTTAGGAACATGGATATATTGTATCCAACATAAAAAGAAGATTAATCTACCACAGATCATCTTTAGTGAGTTTTCATAAACACTATTCCTTTCAAGAATATAGAAACCTTGGTTTATGGTTGTCTCCTTAGTAATTTGTTTATCAAACTCGGTCTTAGGGTCAATGGGTCAATGGATTTATTATCCCGAACTCAGAACTTTTAATTGTGAAACATTTTGATGTTCATGGATTGTTTTATTTTGGGTGTTTGAATTTGTTGGATAATTGGATATTTGAACTTACATGCTTATATATCTGGTTTGATTTTCACTTTCATTTTGAGCTTAATGTTTATTTTTGCATCATTTACATATTAGTTGCATTATGACCAATTTTTTGCCATTTCACATTATTTATGAATATTGGATTATGAAACTAATGACTTATGTTTCTCTTGATTGTGATCTTAGCAGCTTAAACTATATATATAATCAGTTGGCTAAATGATTTCAAAACCTTGTTTTAAATTCTTTTACGAATCTTTTTGATTTAACAAAAAGGGGGAGAAATGTTATTAAATTAAAAGAGGAGTTTTTGAAGAGGAGTAGTGTTAAAGTAAGGGGAAGTAGTAATTTTCAAAATCAAAATTCATTTTGAAATTAGAAAATCTTAAAATGTTTTGTTATATCAAAAAGGGTGAGATTGTTGAAAACATTTTGATGTTTCGATATAATAAATTAAATTAAAAGAATTTTAATTTTGAAAAAGATTTTTCTAAGCATATTCGATATATTAAATCGAATATCAAAATATTACTCAAAGTATTTCAAAGTTCATTTTAAATCCTTACTCAAGTGTAAAATTAAGTTTTAATCTTAAAATAATTTCAAAACGATTTTACAAAATATTTCGAACCATTTCAAAACCAAAAATTCCAGATTGCTCAGAGGGAATCGATTCCCCCCAAGGGGGTACCGATTACCCTTGAATGGTTTGGCTCCGAGAATTCTAGTATGCTCGGAGGGAACCGATTCCCCCAGGGGTACCGATTCCCCCCACTGTTCAACGGTCGAAATATTTGAATTTTACACTTAGGGAACCGATTCCCCCCACACTCCAAGCAGAAATATTAATTGTTTTCACACTTAAACGACTACAATAACTTCATTAATGATCCTCAACATTCAGAAGTGATTCAAGGTGTATTTAAGCAAGCTTAGAAGCCATTGATCAACAACAAGAAACATCAAGCAACTAGATTCAAGAGAGAATCAAAGAGAAAGCATCAAACCTCAAGTTTGAGCATTTCAAGCCTATCTTTCATTCAATATTCATTTTGCTTTCAAGAACACTTATTGTGCTCAATTGTATTCATTCTTGAGTGTTCTTTTCTTTGTTCTAGAATTGTGCAAACAATCTACCTTGTGAGGATTTCCTTGTAAGTTTGCAAATTTGTATTGTTCTCTTTGGGAGAGAGTGTTCTCAAGAATTTGGGGTATAATTCTTGAGGGTTTGTAAGGTTACTCTTTGTCCTCAAAAGAAAGACAAATTAGTGAATTTATGGAAAATCCTTAGTGTGGATAGCTAAGGTAGTGGACGTAGACTTTGGTTGAGAAAGTCGAACCACTCTAAATCGCTGTGCAAATTTCTTTCAATTTTCTACAAAAGCTTCCACCAAAATTTAATTGCCAATTCACCCCCTCTTGGCCATATTCGTCAATCGATTAACTCAATAGTAATGAATAAGACTCAAATGAGATTCAAACTTGACTTATAATTATACCAGATTCGTTGTTATTAAGGGAGTCAGTTCGTACAAAATCTATTCGAATTCATTGCGATATAGATATTCGAGAAACGTCAAAAGAAAATAAAATATGTGGGCATTGCAGAAACCTAGGTCACAATAGGAAAAATGTCTATCTCTTTTATCACACTTAACCGTTTACCATTACTTATGTAATTGTATTTTCTAATATTTCAATTTATGTGATTTTATTTTCTTGTACTTTCAATTTATGTCATTTTATTTTCTTTTTTTTTTACAAGATGTGGCTTTCTTCTATTTTTTTCCATTTAATGTTTTAGGATTCAATATTTTCAGTTTAGATTTTCTTGTGATTAAGATTTTAATTTTACACTAAATCATAAACCATTTAAACAATAAACCTTATATCACTTAAAAAATAAAAACCTTAAACCACTTTAACAAATAAAAACCCTAAACCACTTTAACAAATAAAAACCCTAAACTATTATATAAAAAACTCTAAATCATTCTAACATAAAAAACCCTAAACCACTAAAAAAATCCTACAAATGATTTCTAAAGCGCCTTTGTTTGTATCTTCCACTGTGGCGCCATATTAACATAAACCCAAGATAGCAAGCCCCTTGCAACACGCCTTTCCTCCACTTCAGCAATACGCGTTTCACACAACGCACCTCTGCCTTAATCTGTTAGAAAGGGTGCTAGTTTGCTACATATTCGATAAACGGTGCCAAATAGGTGTTATTTAATTTTGGGTATTTTTAAATGAAATTGCCATTAAGTTCATTGAAGAAATTGAAAAAATATAAAGTGAATGAAATAGGTGAAAGAATAAAATTTAGTTGCTAACTTTGTAATTTACCCTAAACAATAATAGCTTCCCGCAATCTTTCGTCTTCTCCTTTATCTCATTTTTTATTTATTTTCGGAGTTATCGAGTTGGAGATGAAGTTTTCCTATTTATTCCCTCCACGTCCCCAGTGTCCACCCTCAACAGCACATTTACGCCGTCGATTCCTGATACTCTTCACATCCCCTCAGCTCTCTCTCGACTCCACCGTCACTTCCTTCTTTTTCTTTCCTTTTTGCTGCTGGAATTGTTAGGGTTTTCTTTTCTCTTTTTCTTCTAAATATATTAATCTGAATTGAGCATTATCGACAGCGAAAGAGAAACGGGAAAATAGGTTTTTCGTTCTTCTTCATCTTTAACTTTGTTTATTTCGGCTGTTATGGAGCCAGTAGTTGGGAACAAGTATCGACTAGGTCGAAAGATCGGTAGCGGATCGTTTGGAGAGATCTATCTTGGTTTGTGCTTATTATTTTTTATTTATTTATGCTCTTATATTTTAAGTTCTATGGCTTTTCTTCTTTTTCTGTTATTGCAAACTTCCTTTTAATTTTTAGGTACACATATTCAAACGAATGAAGATGTTGCGATTAAGCTTGTAAGTTATTTTCTTATTTCGAATTCTTCAACTTTTTCATCTTAATTTGTTTGCATTTTCGTTGCAATTTTTTAACAGTTAGTGTCTTAGTGGATAATTAATTGAATTCTGCCAGTTTGATTTGTTAAGCAGTTTTTTTATATAAAAAAATCCGTGTAATGCTGTTATCGCTATGACTGGTTGTTCAATTGTAATTTACTTCCAAATTTGGTTCAATGGTCCAATTTGAATGTTTTAGCACTATTAGGGTTATAATTTTTGTTGTTTATGATATTCAGTTGGATTACTTTTGCGTCTATTTACCGTGTTAAATTGAAGCCACTTGAATGCTGTGAGCAAGGATCTGTGGGTTTTGCATATCTTTTCCAGAGATCCATAAACTCTGGAGCTTGGCTCATGCTATTGTCATCCATGATACTTAAATTATAATGATTTGAGCACTTTTGGTTGTGAGCTTCTCACAAGATGAATTGCATGATAGCATATTCAGCTCTCGAAGTGAAAGTGATTCTATTGTCATTTTAGGGATCGAATTCTTAATCATGCAACAGCATACCGCTTAATCATTCCAGGTGGCATAGCTATCATCTGTCTGTTGAGTGTACTACTCTATTAGAAATGTTCGTCTTATATGATATGGATAATGCAATTTATTCTGCAACAACTTTTAACTTGACATACCATGCATCTTTCTTTTGTTTATTGTGTTAATTTTGAATTGCATGGATTGTTCCAATAAATATTGGTGATTTTTTTTTTGACCAGGAAAATGTGAAGACCAAGCATCCGCAATTGTTGTATGAATCGAAGTTGTATAAAATACTGCAGGGAGGAAGTAAAGATCAAATTTCATGCTTGTGTCCTACCTATTTGATCTATCCTACCTATTTGTCTTGTGTGATTAATAGTGTACTTATATCTTTGGCAGCTGGAATTCCAAATGTGAGATGGTCTGGCATTGAAGGTGACTATAATGCCCTTGTGATGGATTTACTGGGGCCTAGTCTTGAAGATTTATTCAACTTCTGCAGTCGAAAACTGTCACTCAAAACTGTTCTCATGCTCGCGGATCAGATGGTAAGTTTTCCTTCATTATGTGTGATCTGTTCTGGTATGTTTTATTTGAGTCTCACAGTTTTTGGTGATTGCACATTGCCATCAGATCAATCGAGTTGAATATGCTCATTCAAAATCATTTCTGCATCGGGATATCAAGCCAGACAATTTCCTCATGGGCTTAGGAGGGCATGCAAATCAGGTATTATCTCCAATCTACTTCCTTTTTTTGTTGAGGATATCTGGCTTCTTGGTATGCTGATTTTGTACTTGATGTTGCATATAGGTCTACATCATTGATTTTGGTCTGGCGAAGAAGTACAGGGATACTTCAACCCATCGACATATCCCTTATAGGTTAGTTCAATCGATTACTCCGGAACAGTGTTTTTATTTTCTTAAATATTTGTTTGAAGCTGAATGGTGCTACTGAATTCATGTCACGCCATACTGATTTTTAGTGCGATTTCTTGAAAGTTTTTTTTATGCTTTTTCGTATGATATTTGGCTTCGTGTCAAGGGTTCTTATATTCAACGGTGGCTCTTAAGAAGGACCAGAGCGGGCCATCCCTCCCCCCAACACACACAAATATTTTGAAAACTTAAATGTTTGAAAGTTTTTTTATTTCTCATTGTTCAAAAAATCTTATTAATATATATTTATATTAAATTAAACTGGTACCCTCAAAATATTATATATTTGACTTAAATTGTCACAACTTTAAACTTTTTTTAATTGCTAGCTTATCCTACAAACTAGTTTTTCTTCTAAGATTTTTTATTTCAATATTGCATCTTTATAAATTATTTCTCAAACCATGACATTTTCTGTCTCCTGTTTTTATAGTTTTTCAAATAAAATATATAAAAAAAATCATATGGAGGAAAACCAAATTTTCATGTTCCCTCTATTTTTTTTAATTGATGGAAAATCGTTCAATTTTCGACAATTTCATAAAGTATTTAGATAGTTTTAGGCTCCTTTCTACTATAAATAGAAACAAATTCGTACTGGTTGGTCCAAGCCCTTAATAGTGTTTCTTCAAATGTCATATCCTTTCCTTAAAAAAAATTAATGTGGCGATTTATTCTTATTCAAATAATTTCTTCCTTTTCAGATTTAGTGTTCATATTCTTCTAATTCTTTATTTTTATTTTTTATTTTATTCTGCTAATACTTTATAATAATCAACATGGGAAGTTATTCCATTGGAATAGGTTCTCTCTATTGAGCACCAGTTGTTAAAGTTAAATGCTTCAATGTGTAGATCTGTTAGCTTTTATCAATATTATTACAATGCTCATGTAGTTACTATATGTTTCTTTAATGTTTAATATTGAATGTTAAAAGTTCACAATTCCTCTGGCAAAACCTTTTTTGTTTGACAGTGAATGTTAAAAGAACTTGACAGTTATTCAGGTAGAACTTTTTTGTGCTATACTGATTTACTGTATACAATATAAATCTATGCAATACTTGTTCAGATTAAAAATTTTATGACGTGCTTGTATTTATTGCCAGGGAAAACAAAAATCTTACAGGAACTGCAAGATACGCAAGCATGAATACTCATCTTGGAATTGGTAGGACATTCTTTTCAACCTTTTTTTTAACTTCAGATAACCTGGAGAGTAAGGGGCTGTTTGATAAAATAAATGATTAAGCGCTGAATGATTCAATGGCCTGAATGATTCAAAGGCTCTGTATGAATTGACTCTGAATGTGACATGCTGTTTGATAATAGTTCTGAATATACAATCTGAATTATGAATATTTTCATTTTTACCTTCATAATGATTTATTATATTATAAGATATGATTGTTTAATAAGACATGTGAAAAAATAGGTATTATGGTAAAATACCGGGTGCTTAATGATTCAGAATGTACTTTAATGCTGAATCATTCAGTAGTGTTTTGTTGTTTCATTCAACATAGTCTTCATTCAGATGTGAGAATCAAACACACTGAATGTTGAACGGTTCAGCATTCGGTGTTGAATGGTTCCATTCAGCAGTAAACAAACAGCCCCTAATTGTTAAATATTGCATGCTAGCTTGCTTTGCTAACTGTTTTTCTGTATCTTTCTATAGAGCAAAGCCGTAGAGATGATTTAGAGACACTTGGATATGTTCTAATGTATTTCTTAAGGGGAAGGTAACTACTTCCCACCACTTTTATTTCACATAGAGCAAAGCAATTGGGATAATTTAGGCATAACCCCGTGTCTTTGCAGTCTTCCCTGGCAGGGACTGAGAGCTGGAACTAAGAAGCAAAAGTATGACAAGATAAGTGAAAAGAAAGTCTCAACTTCTATTGAGGTGAATTAATTAATGTCTTATTATGTCTTGTTATTGCAACTTGAAGGTCCGGAAAACTTATTGGTTTCATCTTAGGCTTTGTGTCGAGGATATCCATCTGAATTTGCATCCTACTTCCATTACTGCCGATCCCTACGGTTTGATGATAAACCAGATTATTCTTATCTGAGATGCCTGTTCCGTGAACTTTTCATTCGTGAAGGTTAGAACTTTATCTGCCCCATGTTCTTCCTTCTTTTACCTTTTTTCTTGTTTACTTGATTGCACTTCTTAATATTCAAATAATATGGGAAACTTCTACTCAATCTGTCAGCTTTCCTTCTGAATTCAGGTTTTCAGTTTGATTACGTGTTTGATTGGACAATATTAAAGTATCAGCAATCTCAGATTTCCAATCCTCCTGCCCGTGCTCTTGTAAGTAGTTTGCCAGACTAGGTAATTTAGTGGCTTCTAGCGTCTATGAATCACCTTTAACTAGTTTTTATCAATTGTATATTGCATTTTTAATGTTTTCCAGGGCCCTGGTGCTGGAACTAGCTCTGGCATACCTCCTGCAGTTGCCATTGCTGATAGGAAATCAGGTATGCCTTTTTTTTCCTAGTCATATCTAACAATAGTTTCCGTTTTGTTTGATTCTTATTCATTCATAGTATTTTTAATATGATTGATTTTCCGCAGGTCGAAAAGTTGGACCTTTTGGTTGGTCTTCCAGAGATCCTACACTCAGGAGGCATTCTGGCCCTATCGAAAATTCTAGAAACGTGGCTAAGCAAAAAAGTCCAATAGCAAATGATTGTCCTGTTGCTAAAGATCCTAAGGTAACGAAATGTATTCTTTCTCCTCATGCATAATCCCCCCCCCCCCCGGGATCTGATTGAAATTGGTAAAATGGGTGTGTGATTTTGAATGCCCTTTCTAGTTATTGTTCCTCCTTGGTTTATGCAGTTGGCTGGTTCTAATGTCTTGCCTTCAAGTGGATCTTCAAGGCGAGCTGCTATCTCTTGCAACCGTGATGCAGCAGCAATCACAGTTGGTGACTCTGAACCCCGTCACCTCCGTACCATCGATGCAAGTTCAAGGTCATTCCAAAAAATCTCCAGTAGACAAAGAAACACACCCATTTTATCGGAGAACAAGCAACCTTCTGGTAGGAACACCTCAAATGTAAAGAATTTGGAGTCTGCTATGAGGGGCATTGAAAGCCTGCATTTTAGTAACGATGAGAGGGTACCCTATTAGACTACTACCACGGCCTACCCGGCAGCCAACAAATTTTATGATGACATACTTTCGCATACACTCGTGCTAGAAGCCGTCTATTTTGTTTTGTTTACTTTTCAAATTAGAAGAGCTCAAAGTTGGGAATTATAACTGTAAGTATTAACAAAGACAGAATGTGGAGGCGCCCAATGATAGAAACCATATACAGGTTTAGATGTCTTTGCTACCTTTTTCAGTAAAGTGTTATTTGTTTAGATCATGTAACATATACTTAAAAATTCAAAAGCAGGCTATTTGTAGCCTTTTTATATCAATATTGTAACCTCTTTTATATTTGTTGCTACTGTTGAGGTAATATGTTTGAAAGTAATAGGTTGATTACTGTCTAGTGTCGACAAAGACATGAGAAGAATTAAAGAAAAAAAAACCATACAAAAACGGATGATGGAAATTTCATTTCAAGATTCTTGAGAAGTTACCGTATCCCAAGTTGGGAAAAAGGGGGGGGGGAATAAATGTCCCATAGACAATTTGGGCACAAGTGTTTTTGAACCACCTAAGACTCTTCTTGAGAGACCCTTTCATCTTGCTTTCGACTGCATAAACCTTGTATCCAGCAACCCTTTTCTTCCTCTGCAGCTCAGGGTCATTGAAGCTCCAGGCTTTTGAAGAAGGCCCAAAAGTGCTTTTGCTTTTCTTCAACTTAATCTGATTAGGTTGAACAGTGTTTGCATAACCACCGGCGCTGTAACATCTGAGGTCCTGCATGTTCCTTGGCCCTCCTTCGTAGTAACTCTCCCTCTGCGCCTCTCCATCCCTGTATGATTTGGATCTAAAACCTTCCATGTTGAAGATCAAGTTGAGGCACTGCACAAAGTAAAATACAAAACATGGAAAGTGGAAACAGCTCTAGTGGGGGGTTGCTTCTTGACTTTAGTTTACCCATTTATTGTTATTCGAAATGTTGCTTTTCGTGGGTGGGATTTTGTGACATTTTCTACTTCATTTTCATTAACGCTCCATCTCTTGAAGGCAGTCGGCCATTGCATGACACACCTTATTTTGAATGGTCATTCGTGTGTAACACGTGTCATGGTGTTACTATTTGACTTGATTTATGAATTAAACGAAAATAAGGAGCTCCTAAATGAGCATATCCAATAAAATCAGGTATATACAATAATGATAGTTCCATTATTTGAATGCCATTCAATTACTTGAATTATTAGAATTTGTATTTTAATTATTACATAATAATTACTTAATTTATTTTACTATATAGATGCATAAATATGTTTTATAAATCTTAATTCTAATCCTAATTCTACCTATAGGGAATGAAAAATGATACACCATAGGAAGGAAGGGGATGCTTCTAGTGGATCTAGAACATATGATATAAGAAAATATGATAAAACAGAACTAAGTAACTTGATTAATCAACCAAACATGCTTACTCATAAATGCACAAGCATTTAATTATGTATAAATATTAAAATTATAATAGTTTATCCTTATTTTAACATAAACTTAGGTGGTGTTTGTTTTTGCAGAGGTAAAAGGTCTGCAGTTTGCAGACCACATCTACAGGCATATGCAGAAAAGATGGATCAAAAGTCTGCAGTCTGCAAGAAGAAGACTGTTTGTTTTTTAACGTCTACATACTGCTAAAATAAACTGAAATATAAATAAACTGATTTTTTAAACTTAAAAGAGTTTTGCAATACTGAGATTTAAATAATTTGAGTTTTACAATATTGAAATTTAAATAATTCATACAACTACAATAATAAATTTTTTAGAAAAACAAACACCATCTCATTAATTATATTATAAGTCTCACATAATCACATGTATTATTAGTTTTATAAGTTTTATAGAATAAAATTTATAAATGATCATTAAATTATATGATTTTTAAAAATATGTAATTATGTAATACTTTTAATTTTTTAAATATATATTCATAATTTATTTTTATAATTATATGATATTTTTAGAAAATATTTTTTCAATTTATCAAATTATTTTATGATTATTTTTTATTTAATTTTGATTATATTTTAAAATTTTAAAAACATAATTTATAATTTTTTATATTTTATATTTTAAAATCTTAATTATCAAACAATGAAATCATTTTTTTTATTAAGCAATGTGGTTTAAATACTTACATTTTGTAAAAAGTTTAAATATAATTTAAAAATAGCAAATCCAAAAAAATATTATATTTAAACTTAAATCAAAATAATTAAAATAAATATAATTTTAATAATATATAAAATAATTTATATGATATAAAATTAAATATCTATAATATAATATCAAAATTTTAATATTTAATTTATTTAAAAAGTTAATATTAAAATTAATATCTATAATATATTATTAAAAAAATAATATTTAATTAATTTAAAAAATTAATATTAAAATTAAAATCAAATATAATATAAAATTAAATATAAAACCTCTTTGAAGAGGTTAGAAGACGACTGCAGACATAAGACCACGTCTGCGCCGCGCAGGCGTTAGAAGAGCTTCTGTCTTTTAAAAAACAAACGGTCTGCGAAGCCCAATGTCTGCACGTGATCTACGCGGCACAGACATAAGAGCTTTGCAGATCTTACACAGTAAAAACAAACATCACCTTAATGTTATCTGTTTTAAAAAAAACTCCTATAATCGATTTCAAAGCATATCGATTGATTGTTGTAAATGTCATGCAACTGATGTGGATGGACAATGATGATGATAGTTTCCGTGAGTTGGTACATGAGGTGTTAGCTGGTTGTTACGCAGCTACCAGGTTGTCGGTAACGCATAATTTCTTTGTAACTGCATGGTTTATATGTGGTATAAAGTAGAACACTTGTTCATTAATGAAAGCAGTGCAATTCTTTACAACGACTAGTGTTAAAATGTCTAATCTACTTTTAAGATGGGCAAGTGATGAAGATTACATATGTTTCGAGTAGTTATAAGCTTTGCTGCTTATAAGAAACAAAAAATCAAAAGCACAAGTTATCGGGCCAAAAGCTGGCAGCAAACACTTATAAGCTCAAGTGCTGAGAATAGATCACAGCTCAGCCTTGAACAGAGTTTATATGATAAGAGATAAAACCACTGCAAACAAGTTGTCAAAACTGGACAATCATAATGTAGCAAATGTGCAGGTCCCCCATATCATTAAATGTTCAAATATGTTTAGGAACATTAACTTAAGAAGCTAGAAAGCCAAATAAAAACAACGAAAATAGCATGTTAAAAACGACTTGCAAAAACAGCAACCCTTTTGCCTCGAACAAACTTTCAAAAAAGGTAAATCTCATCACAGGAGATCAGCAACGTTTGATGGCAGCTCCTCAATGATCACATTGTAGAACTTCTGGATGTCATACAGCATTCTCTCGTCATCATTAGTCACAAAGTTAATGGCCACACCTTTCCTTCCAAACCTTCCACTTCGTCCTATACGGTGGAGGTAGTTTTCTGGTTGAGTTGGCAGATCATAGTTTATGACAAGGGAGACTTGCTGCACATCAATACCACGAGCAAGAAGATCGGTAGTGATGAGAACACGTGAAGAACCAGAGCGGAATTCACGCATGATGATATCACGAGTATTCTGGTCCATGTCTCCATGGGTGGCAGAAACTGTGTGGTCACGGCTACGCATCTTGTCGGTCAACCAGTCAACCTTGCGCCTTGTGTTCACAAAGATGACACTCTGGGTGATGGCAAGGGTTTCATAGAGATCGCAAAGAGTTTCAAGCTTCCAATCCTCCTTTTCGACATTCACATAAAACTGCTTGATACCCTCAAGGGTGAGCTCATCGCGCTTAACCAAAATTCTCACAGGTTTGTTCATGAACTTCCTAGTGATCTCAAGGGCTTCAGGCGGCATTGTAGCAGAAAATACTCCAACCTGAATCTTAGCTGGCAGCAGTTGGAAGATATCGTAGATCTGACAGACGTAACATTATCAAAGCACAAAATATAGAAAACAATGCGTTTCAAAATCGAAAATCATTTTAAGGGAACATAAAAAGATGAAATATCAAACCTGATCCTTAAAACCACGGGAAAGCATTTCATCAGCCTCATCCAAGACAAACATCTTAATATAATCTGGGCGAAGTGACTGCCTCCTCAACATATCAAAGACACGACCAGGAGTGCCAACAACAACGTGAACACCACTTTGAAGAATGCGCTGATCCTCACGAACACTTGTCCCACCAACACAAGCATGGACCTTAACGCCCAGGTAATCACCAAGTGCACGCATTACCTTCTCAATCTGTTGTGCTAACTCCCTAGTTGGTGCCAACACTAGAGCCTGGCATTGGACAATACCATAATCAAGTTGCTGTAAAATTCCAGAGCAGAAGGTTGCTGTCTTCCCAGTTCCAGACTGTGCCTGCTGAATAACATCAAGACCCTTGCAAAATGGAACAATACCTCGCTGCTGAATTGCAGAAGGCTTCTCAAAACCTTAGAAAATATTTTGGACAAGACGAAAAAAGTCAGCATATATTTGACAAAAACAAACCATAGAGAAAAGCACAGAAGTCCTACAAGTGGGGGGCTGTGCAACTTGTAAAAAATTTCTTTCTGAAAGACTAACATACCATACGCATAGATACCCCTCAGAAGGTTCTCTTGAAGTCCCATACCATCAAAACTGTCGTGAACTTCATCATAACTTGTGAAAAAATCATCTCCATCAGTTTGGAGCCTGTGCAATTTGAATTTTCACCAGATATCAGAATCAGCAAGTTGCAAACCAAATAGCAGTCCCCTGTTTAGAAGGAAAAAACATATGCAAAGGGCAGATAGTATGCAATCTGTAAACAATAAACTTACAACTCAGTCATTTTCTGATCATACTGGCGACCATCAAATTGAGATCCTTCTGATGCCACACCTGCCATGACTGTGCAGAAAGAAAGAATAAACTAATAAGTCCATACAAACCTCTAAACCAAGATCATTGCTTTTGGATTAAACGATACAACAGGATACTGATAAATATAATTAAGCGGGATTCAAATAAAATCACTATGCTGCATGGTATACAAACACCAAAAGATATCACCTCCAACATGTAATATTAAAAGTTTTTAATGACATTAAAGGGAAGAGCTTTTCCATACCGAGAAAGATATAACAGAAGAACCAAACTAGCACACCATGGGAAAGAAAGCACAAGTATTAACTTCTAATTTAGTATTTGGAGAAGATATACAAAGAGGCATACAGTTATCTGATATTTGGATCATAAACCCTTTACCACCAGACACCCATATTGCCTACCTCTCCAAAATTCACTCAGGGCCAAGCGATCAGAAGAAAGGTTCAACACTGTTATTACCAAACATCTAAATATTTCTATATAGGACACTTGTTGAAAGCACTGTCTCAGCCTTAAGGTGCAACAAATCATCAGTCATTAGTAATTACATGAGCAATAAGTACACATTCTTTGTTGATTAAACATCCATTTTGATATACAGATATGTTTATGGATGACTAACCCCCTGTTACTAAGACAAGAAACTTAGTCAATATGAAGGGTTTGGTAAAGAAAGTGGTGATAGATAATACCAATGTTAGAGCCGTTGCCTAATCCATACAAACAGTCTACTATTATACCAATGTTAGAGAATACAGATAGGTTTTGTTAAAGATCAGCCTTAGAATCACACCGCCAATAGCATTAAAAGTGAACTAACATCAGACATTTAGCATCATAAATCCATCATATATTTGCTTTTCATTTACCACCAATCATCTCACTCAACTAAGTGTAAGACATTAAACCCAAACCTGTAAGTTACAATATTAAAAGTTAAGATTTGTTCGCAATAAGAACACAAAATAA